TCACAAGTGAATATGCTGATGTATATATGGCCACATTTTCATGTGAGGCCACATTTTTTGTGCATATGCTGACCACATAAGCAGTTGTGTAGATATACGTTAAGGCATTATTGTCAGGAAGATTCATGTAGTTAAACCCAAATAACTGGCACTTTATAGCTTGTGGGAGCAATTATACTCTCGAGATAAAGAATACAATGATATTATTGATCGAGCAATAATATGGAAAATAATATGAGAAAAGTGCACATCTTTGGTAACTTTCGGATAGGATTTGTTAAACATTAACACGGTTATACGTCTTTTATTACCTTTACATATTGCACTTGCAATAGCAAACTAAAGCTAGTTCCATAAAGTCCTTTTCAAGAAAAGTTGGATGAATAATGCTGGTATGTTAAGAATTGCACTTGTTTTGTGTTTTACAGTCAAACAGGAAAATCAAGGTATGGAATACATTGGGTAGTTTGTTAATGTTTTTTGTTCTATGGGGACGTTTTCATAGTCTTTGAATTTTTTGGTTGTTAAAGTGTGTTCTTTCATAACTATATGCTGTTTGCTGGACCCATTATCTTTAAGATTCTGGGTCCTCTTTGGCAAATAAATTCCCTTAAATGGATAAATCCTCTCTTATTTAGTGTTGAAAATGATAAATTGAATATTGACCACTGAAACCTTCTCGGGGTAAAGAACGAAGAAACAAATTATTAAATTCATCAAATGAAGCAAATAATACTGAACACAGCCTCAGGAATCGGTACTTCTCCTAGGTCATAAATTTTTGTGAACAAATAAGAAGGTATCAATAGTTAACTGACTGCTGATATTTATGATGCTAATACACTATACAGGGATAGCTGGGAAGAAGGTAATCCTGCTACTTGGGGAACCAGCCCACAGTATCAGGTATACTTCATTTTGTTTGCTACAGAATTTTTATTCTCACTACTTCAAGCATACATAAAAATAACGGCCTAGATCTTGCATTCATATTCTAGTTCTTTGGAGTAATTATTTGAACCAACAGCTATCAAATTGTTACAGTTAGGAACTCCTGTCCGGACATATGAAGCACCTACTCCTGGTTCAGGTTGGGCTAGCACCCCCGGAGGTAACTATAGTGATTCGGCAACACCAAGGGAAAGCAGCTATGGTAATTGAATGAATGCAACTTTTACAAGCTTCTACTTTACTTTCTCAACATTGGAGATGTAACTTATTCTCTTCCCAGGAAGTGCTCCAAGTCCATACTTACCTTCAACACCTAGTGGGCAGCCTATGACACCTAGCTCTGCATCTTACCTTCCTGGTACCCCTGGTGGACAGCCCATGACGCCTGGAAACGTTGGGTTGGATATAATGTCTCCAACAATAGGTAGCTATCTCTACTTTTTTACATACTCTATCGGAGTCTTTTTTGTTCCATTCATGTCAACTTCTAGCTGATGGTTTGACCTGGATATGGCCCAATAAATGCACTTGAAAGTGCATGCATATGGAAACTATAACATTGCAAAACTGGTATATTGACTAATTCAGAGTTTTTAATTATTAACTGATTCTATTTGCTTTTACCTTTTCTGGGACATGATAATAATATCATGACAGTTCATATATTTCTTTTGGAGTTGGAGAACCAATGTTCCATTTGGTGGTTCTTCCAGGGTTGGCTTTTTTTATAGTTAACGTTCCTATCTCATTGCAATATTTTTTGACATGAGAGCTACCAAATTTTAACTATTATGTCTTTGGGCACTCCTGTTTCTGGTGCTGTTATGTTGATTGAAGTGTAGCATTATCTATATCCATTTGCTTTGGAACAATAAAGTTGCAGATAATGTCTTTCCTTCAAACAATAAAGTGGAATGAAAATAAAAAGATCCCTGATATTAATTGCTTTATTGGCAGGTGGAGAGAACGAAGGAAATTGGTACATGCCTGATATTTTTGTTAACATTGTAAAACCTGGAGGCGATTCTCATGTCGGAATTGTTAGGGAGGTGCTGATGGTATGTACACACAACTAATCACAGTGCTTGTCTGAGTTCCATTTTTACACCTTAAACTCTGGTGGTGGTGTACCAGACTCACTTATCAAGGGTTGAGGGTTCAAAACCTCATCCGACATATTTAGAAGGTGCCAGTTAGTTTTAGATGGTAAAGACCTTGATAGTTTATCGTAGGGTCTTGGGCTTGAATCCCACTTGTGCCACTTATCCTTTGCAAAAAAAAAAAAATCAATTGTTTTCGTTATACAGATGGAATGAAAGTGGATGACAAAATCTTATTATGTTTGCAACAAACTCTTAGTTTCTTATTAATAACTTGTTCATTTACAGGACGGGTCCTGCAAAGTTGCACTCGGATCAGTTGGCAACGGGGAGACACTAACGATTGGTTCATCAGACTTAGAGGTGGTCAGACCTAAGAAATCTGATAAAATTAAGATTATGAATGGCACGCTGCGTGGAGTAACAGGAAAACTCATTGGCATAGATGGTTCCGACGGAATTGTTAAATTGGATGATACCTATGAAGTCAAGATTTTAGATATGGTCATTCTTGCTAAATTAGCAACAACATGATACGATGGTGTCATCGTGAGAAAATTCAGTTGGAACTGTAGGTTGGATGGTCATTGTAGATTTCTGGTTCTATTGTTTTTTCCAGAGCAGAAGAAAGCTGGATGTTGGGATGATATGGTAGTTGTTTGCCGATATTGCTTTTCATTTTATACCAGGAACGTTTTCATCATCCACACAATATGGTGGCCAGGAACCTTTCAGATGCCTTTTCACCTTCCACAATGTCACCTTATACAATGTAGTAGATATTATTGTTCTCCAGTAGTTGTAAATGTAAATGGTGGTGAAATGTGGTAATTGATATGATACGTGTCATTAATTCTTACCAATTGATATGTTCTCCCTTGTCGCCAGCAGTCTGCAGTCTAGTTTTAACAATTTTGCCTGTGGGTGTTGATGGTTTATTCATCTTCTTTGCTGCAAACATCTGTTTGCCATTATTTTAAATCCCCATCAATGTTAATTATCAATCTTATGACAATTTGATTGGTATAAAATGACTTGTTTAAAAGGTTTTGAATGATTTTGTACGAGAGTTAGGATTATTTATATGTATTTTATAATAAAGATAATAAGTCATCTTTTTTTTTCCATATGATCGTAAATTTAGGTATGTATATTTTGAGAAACCTTATAATATTATGTTTGCTTATTAAATAATAAAAAAAAGATGAAATATTATCCGCAACGATATTTATGAATGGACTTATAATGTTTATACCAAGAACACTGTAAGTTTATTAAAAATATTATAATCAAACATTAATTAGTTAGTGTAAATGGTCATTTATCTTGCTTATCGATATGATATTTTGTAAGATGACTTGTATAAGAGTTTGTGGTTTTAGATGAAGATCAAGAAGGTTTTGATATATTTTAAAATAAATAAAAATAAAAATTCTTTTGGTTTTCCTGATGGCTTTAAATTTTGGTTTATATATTTGTTTTCATTTATCATGAAAGAACGATAATATTTAAGGGTGAAGTACTACCCAATTATAATATTTTTTATTAATAAATAAAAGCATATTTATTTTATTTAAGAACATTATAAGTTAGTTTTAATTAGTTTAAATCCTCATAAATCTTAATATTAACTTTATCCTAAGTTTTTAGATTTTTTAAAGTAATTTACATGAGAGTCTTTGGTTTTGATAAAAATTAGGAATGTTATAACGAAATTTTTTAATTATTTTTTCATTTAGCCTTAAACTTATGCTTATATATACTGAAAAAAAACTTTTGATATATGTTTTTGTTTATCGTAGAAGAATGATAACAAAATAGGATAAATTATAATGTTTTTGACTACCCAACAAAAACATGGTAACATCATTCAAAAAATAGTAATTAGTTCGGTGAACTAAGTCATTGTGTAACTTTATCTAAAAATATCATAATCGGTGCAGTTCAATCGATTGGCTCAGACTATTCAATGTAAAAGGTAGGGTTCTATAGGAAAAATATAATGTAATATAATATAGAATGAGAAATTTTAAAATATAATATAATATAATTAGCCTTCAGGCTAATTATGTATTACTCTGTAGTTAGCTATATTTAGTATTTGGATTTTTATATTTTAAAAAATTATATTAGTATTCATGTAACAAAGTGAAGCATTTAGGCTCATTTACTATAACACTGTCGATTTATTTATTATAATATTATCAATTTTACTAATGGAAATATAAAAAAAAATTAAAGAGATAAATTAACGTTATAGTTGATGGTGATAGACAAAGTTATTCTATAACATCGTTGGGTGCCATGGTTAGTTATTGTGAATGAGAAGAAAGGTGACGAGAGGTGAGACCCACTTTGCATCTACATTGATACTATCATTATTGACGAGTTATCCTTTTGATATCAATATAGTTGTGCTGCTTAGCAATTATGTCAATGCCAACACAGATGCAGAGTGATAAAAGGGTCTCTCAATATTTACGTCAATGTCGACACAGATGCAAAGTGAGCTTTATCCCTTATCGTCGCTCTCCTCACCTATAACAACTATTTGCAACCCCCAACGACGTTGTTGTCCGTCGTCATCATCAATTGAAATGTTAAAATTATTTTTTTAATTTTATATTTTTGTTAATAAAATTGACGTCGTTACGATAAATAGACCTAGATATTTTTTTTAACTAATAAAATATTAATATAATTTTTAAGATATACAAATTAAGGTATTAAAAATAACTAACTACATGCGATGGGTAATATATAATTAGTCCGTGACTTTCACATGCATTTTATTTTAGTGGAATAACAAGTTTGGATTTCTTAGCTGAATAATAGTCAATGGGAAACCAAACAAAAGCAAACGAAACACAACAAAAGCTGGCACGGCGCTCTTTGGACGCATATATTACCAAAAACTATACTCCACGAGTCATGACGACTGAATTCGTAGCCAATCATGCAAGAAGGTATCTTTTCCCTCATCTCCATGCTCCACACACTGCCGCTTGGCTCGTACAGTGCGAGATCGCTGCCATCCTTCGGCCCCCGTATCCGAAGCCGACGGCCAGATGGCGAGCGGCCAAGACCTCCTCCGCCGACCCTACGCCGACGAGGAGGACCCGGCCATCCGCCACCGCGCAATCCCCGACGACGCCGCTCCGCCGACCAGCGGAGAGAAGACCCGCCCGGCCCGGTCGAAGCGCGTCGCGTCGCTCGACGTCTTCCGCGGCCTCACTGTAGCGGTACCGTCCCGCCCGATGCATCATTCTCCGCTCTGCTGCTTTGGATTTTTACTGTGGTCGCCTGATGTGGGTGGTTGTTGGGCAGTTGATGATCCTGGTGGACGGAGCCGGTGGCGAATGGCCGGTGATCGGACACGCGCCGTGGAATGGGTGCAACCTCGCCGACTTCGTGATGCCCTTCTTCCTCTTCATCGTTGGGATGGCCATCCCTCTTTCCCTCAAGGTTGTTCCCATTCGGTTTCGTTGTTTCTATGTTCCCCTCTTTTGTTTGGATTGCTGCAAAGGCATATCTGTTGTCGATGGTGCTTGCAGAGGATCCCGAGCCGGGCGCGGGCTTTGAGGAGAGTGATGGTTCGGACGCTCAAACTGCTGTTTTGGGGCATCATCTTGCAAGGTTAGGGATTACATGATATCGAAAACCCATGTTAGGCAAAAACACAATAAGCTTAATATTTGTCTCAGTTGAATGTTTAATGCCTGAATGAGTTCCGTGCTTTACGACTTTTTTGTTCCTCGGTTTTCCCTTTTCCGCATATGGTCGTTGATATATACATAAATTTTTGCCACAGTATGCGGCTTTTATTATCCATATGTAAATTATTTGAATGAAATTTTTGCATTTTATTTTTCATTATGTCAAATGAATGATTTTTAGAAAAAAATCTCAGGTTTTTTTAAAATTTTCTTGAAGAGAGTCTCGTCGTTTGCAAAATGAAAGTTGTCTCTGCTTTAGATCAGTGTTTTAGTCGATCTAATCCAGTGGTAGCCCAAACAATGTCAAACCGGTCCGATCCCTCAGGAGAGCCGAAGCCATGTTTTTAAGGGCTCCGAGGACTGATTGCCATGGTTTTTAACTGGAAAAAAAAAAAAGAAAAATTCCAACCAGGTCTCTCTCTCTCTCTCTCTCTCTCTCTCTCTCTCTCTTGTCGTCACACCCTTCTTCTCTCTTGTATATTATTTGAATGACTATTTTGCAATTTCTTTTTTATGATGTCAAATATTTGGTAATGACAAATGATGTTCTTTTGATTTTGTCAATTTTGGATAAATATTGTATTTTGCATGCTGCTACCCTGACTCTAACGTTGGCAAATATGTTTGTCACCCTATATTTGCACTTGTGAACTTCTTTTTTTTTTTTTTTGGAAAAATGCTACAAACGGGCTCTTCTTTGGGGAAATGGCCACCAGTTTCCAAAACCGTTGCTTTCGGGCTGGAGAACAATTAAGAAAAATGGGACGGTTTTTTTGTAAAAACAAAACTTCTTGTTTGAAAATATCTGCTACCAACACTACCACTACATCCTCTTCTTCCTAATTCCCCATGAATATTATGTTTGAGAATCTACTATTTACATTTCAAGTCATAGTATATGAAATAGAAGTATATATAATCTATTAACATTAAAATATAATATATGATACCAAAATATGCATATTTTTATTATGGGATGATTTCTTTATAAATGGACCTAATATTCAGTTTTTCTTTGAGACCAAAGTATTCCCAAAAAAATTATGCGATCCAAAATTTTCTCTTTTCGATTTGGTTTTTCCTCTCCAATTGAATCAATTGAAACCGATTTATCTTTTATTAAGTTATATAACAATTAAAATTATTATAATATATAACTAAATTTGTAAAATTTAATGAATAAAAAACAAAATTGATTAAAAATATAACATAGCATACTGAAGATATTTTATTTTTAAAAAATGGTTAAATATAAATAAATAACAAAATAAAAATATGAAACTATAATATTTATGTAAAATAAATATTAATAAAACCTATTGTGATGACATTGATATGCTAAATAATAACATAATATCATTATATTAAACTTAAATGAATAAATCTACAAGATCATGCAAATGGGAGCAAAAAATTTCAGTGTAACGGGGAAGAAATAAAAAAAGAATCAATACCTAGAATACAAGCTTGCTTTTTTTCTGCCTTCTGAGTTTGGGGGCAGAGGTCATATCTGTTCCTTGTTGAAGTAACATATGATCTTTCTTCTTAAAAAGAATGCAACAGTACCAAGAATGAGGCATCATCTTCAATTAAACAAAAAGCTTCACCATCATATCATTTTTTCCCTTAAATCCTACTTGTATTAGAAATGGAAATAGGGTTCTCTGGATGCTGTGGGTCTTATTGGATGGGAGAAGACGACTCAGCAGGCTTTCTTATATTTAATCATTGGATTAGGGTATTTTCTTCGTTTTATGTGGGACGGTGCTCGAATTAAGAATGGGCCCTATGGTTTATTTCTCTTTGTTAATTAAACCATTCTAAATTTAGAACCATTTAAATGAAACTAATCTAAATCAAAAAGTATGAAAACCTAGGAAATATGCGGAAAAAAAAGGGGTAGTTCTACAAAAATGGGTGTTTTCTTACAAAAACTGATATCCATGCCTTTTTGTGAGAAATTGTCCCGCAGAATTTTCGAAGCCCTTCCTGGTTGCATGAGATTGAACTGTAAGAAAAAAATTTAAGACCAAAATGAGTGTTTCTAGAACACTAAATAGAAACACAAAGAATTAATACGGAAATTGAATACCTTCTGCCATTGTTGTTGAGAATTTCGATAATGGTTCTTCTTACTATTTTGATACTTCTTGGCTCAGAACTCTCACAAATTCTTAAGATTGAGAGTGAGCCTAGGGACCATAACTTATTTATATAGATGTTCTACCATCAAGAACGTTTTTCTTCATTATCACCAACTTTTCAAAAATTAATTCAAGTAAATGTTTGGATCATAATGAATGAAGAAATTTAATGATAACGGTTACATTCATAATGAATGAAGAAATTGAAACGTTTGGACCATAATGAATGAAGAAATTGTGGATAATAAATGAGAAAACTTAATGAGAACAGTTACATGAACTACCACTACTTAGAAAGATATTTTTGTCTATTAATTATTTTCTTGTTTGAAGAATTTTTCCTCTCTTGCCCAAATTTGGTTGAAATTCTGAAGATTCTGTGAAAACTTCCTTGGGGCCTTCTTATTTTTGGTACAATCAATCCCATGCATGGTTGACAAAATGCTTGAATATATTTATTACTGTTGAAAATCATTTCTGACCTTTAAATCTAATTCTTCAAAGCTTGTTTTTCTATTTCATGTGTATTAATCTAGATGCTTTTTTTATTCTTTCCTTCTTTCCAGTTTTTCCTAAACGATAAGTTTACAGGTGGATATTCTCATGCTCCTGACAAGCTCACTTATGGAGTTGACATGAAACAAATTAGATGGTGTGGTATCCTCCAGGTAAGAGTGAAAAAGTCAAACAGATATGCAAAAGCCTCTGAAAACAAGTTTTATTCTAAAATGGACCTATGGAAGATTTGATCACCTTATTTTTTGCCTTCCTAGCGAATAGCTCTTGCATATATGGTAGTAGCAGTCCTCGAAATTTTGACTAAGGATACCAAATTTGAGGATCAGTCAACTACAAGTTGTTCTCTATTTAAGTTGTACTGCTGGCAATGGTAATGTTCTCTTTCTCTTTTTCCTTCACCTCCCAGTAAACATTTTTGTGAGTATCAGCTATTCATGTGTCAATCCATATCTTTTTCCTATAGATGCAGGCACAGATAATACTTTCTGATCTCTAAGTTGAATCTTAACAAGAATGTGCAACTATTTTTGCTTTGTAACCCAGAAGAATTGTTTTCCATCAGTTTGGAAATGTTATTTCAGTTACCATTGACATGTACCTATCTAAAGTTTCTATTTTTGTACATGGAATGGAAGTATGTGAATCAGATATTGGCTAATTATTATGTTTTCATCATTGCACTTTTCATGTTTCTACATATTTCTCTGATCTCTATATGTAACTTTCTCTTATGCATTTCCATAATTTGATATTCCTGCATTTCGTGCTGTTTTTATGTTGAGAGTTCAAGATTTCTTGACATCGTTTCTTCTAAAAATTGGTACCTATAATTGCTTTAACCTAGTGGGAACAATCATGATGATGAATGAACAACATATCTTGTCGCATTTTACATCAAATTTCAATTAGTTAAAGGACAAAAGCAAACCAAAATCAATCAGGATAAGATTATATACAGCCACCAAATTTTAGTAGTCACTTCATCTTAACATTGCATAGTCACTTCATCTAAAGTCTTAACATTGCATATTGATCAGTCTTAACAATGCATAATTGCTTCATCTAAAGTCTTAACATTGCATATTGATCAGGAGATCATTGCAATAGACTGATATGCAAATCAAGTAGGCTAATTCAGATTTGTATGTCTCAACATTATGCTTGTAGTACTTATGTTCCATTTTTGTTTATAAGATCAGGTTATTTGGCGCATGTGTTCTTGCGATCTACTTCGCAGTAATTTATGGGACATATGTTCCTGACTGGGAATTTACAGTGCATGATAGTGATAGCCAAGATTATGGAAAGGGCTTCAAGGTATGCAGTTAAATCACCAACATCAGAAATTGATATATTACTTTGCCACTTTGACATTTCATCAAGCTGCTTCTCTATTTTCTTTCCCTTTTGCATGTGATTCTATTTAAAAACTTCCATATTGTACTTGGCATCATGCAGCATACACACTGTCTTGACTATGTTCTCTGGTATCAGATCTTCAATTTGTTGTTCAACTAATTAATTCTTCAACCTGCATTTGGATCACAGCTAGCCATAGCAAAGATAAATATAAGAAAATAATGATCCAACCTTGTTGCACCTACAATATATGCATGACTTATATCCAACCTTGGATTTTTGGCACATTTAAAAATGCAGCAGACATCCGCATGTGAGAGACTCTTTTTTGTGTGTCTTTCATTTTCAGTTTCATTAATTTTTACATCCAACATGTATTCTTTTTTATCTCTCATTAGAATTACAGTATGAGTATTTGTCCTTGAATAGAGTTGTTGGTTTTGAATCACGTGCTTCTTGCAATATGAACCATTACTCCTTTGATGATTGTTTATTGTTGATATACCAACTTTTTTTAGGTAATTTGTGGTACCAGAGGAAGCTTGGACCCTCCTTGCAATGCTGTAGGTTATGTTGATCGACAAGTACTGGGGATCAACCATATGTATCGCGGACCGGCTTGGAAAAGATCCAAGGTGGTTTTGTTATAAAAAAGGACCATTCATTTTTCCTATCCTTCAGTTTTCCTATGAATATTTTTCTTATTATCTAAGCAATTATGACTTGTTCGTATGTTGTGGTTCTCAAGTTTTTCGTCTTCCAAAGTAATGCAGGCTTGCACTTATGGTTCACCCCATGCGGGACCTTTACGAAATGATGCTCCAGCATGGTGCCAATCACCATTTGAACCCGAAGGGATTGTGAGGTTAGGTCTGCTAGAGGTTCATTATCCTAATCTGAAGTATTTTACTATCATCTTCCATCTTGATACCAACTTATTTTATGGGTTCTGCTACTAGATGCTCATTTGATAAGGGCCTGTCTTAATTTATACAAGAAATGATTATGTAAACTTTTAAAACTTATGCTTTCATCCAGTCTGGCTAAACTACATGTATGCCATGTGGAACTAATATGTCCAGTTGTCCACTCAGTGGGCTTGGTTGGCCAAGGTGGGGTTGAAGTCCCTTTAACATGGCAAGCCACCCAGTCTCCAACCAAGAGTGCTATGGCTGCCAACTGTATAGCCAATCACACCAGTCCCTCCTCAATCCACATGCATGTGGGATTTTATTTTCCCTAATGATCTTTGTTGCTTAATCAACTCAGATGCTGCAGGGGAATCTTGTACTCGTTTATTCATCCAAAATTAGCTTTCCTTTTTCTGTTGAAAAATACAAACTTCTTCCTCAACCATAAATTTTCTCATTTGTAAGGGTGAATGTCAGTGCTTTGTCCTTTTGGTACTCTAGCTTCAGTCTTAGTTATATCTTTTTTGTGTTTGGTTGGGATGTGTTGTCACTAAAGCATGTTAATACTGATGTATTATGTTTTCCTACATATTATCATGCTTAGAAACAAACAAGTTCCTTCCCTGTTGTATGGCCATCAACATGATCTATGCTTGAACAAGATAGGCAAATATAGGGAGTTTCTAACTCATATTCAATGAAATTCAAGATCTAATGTTGGTCATGTTCTGATTTCTGTACATAGTCATTTCTGACATTTTCCAAATCTTTGATATTTCTGTAGCTCAATCTCTGCCATTCTGTCCACTATCATTGGAGTACACTTCGGCCATGTGCTTGTGCATATGAAGGTTTACTTTACTTTTCATGAACAGATAGATAAATGGAATTACTGTACTATACTACAGTTTTCTTATTTGACTTGTTTTAATACTTTACTTTTTCTCCCAGAGTCATCTTAATAGACTAAAACAGTGGATTTCAATTGGAATATCTCTCCTTGTGTTTGGAATTATTTTGCATTTTACACATGGTAAGGGAACTTTCATTTCTGTGGAACCTTGTACAGCATCTCTTTCCAATATGTTATACTTGCTATTATTATCATTTCTGTAAATTTTCCTGATCTTTATTGACTGCTGGGATGTTCATGCAGCAATTCCACTGAACAAGCAGCTCTATAGTTTCAGCTATGTTTGTGTCACAGCTGGGGCAGCAGCAATTGTTTTCTCCATCTTCTATTTTCTGGTATTACATTAATAATTCATGAAAATTATATTCATCTCAATCTGAAACAGTCAATGATATGAAAGACATGCCTCTCTTATTAGTGCATATCTTTTTGTCTTGCCAATAGCTTTGCAATTCACTGCACTGTAACAATATTCCAAACTTAGTTCCCACCACTTATTTGGTCAGAACATAGGTTTCTCTTTCATTTACGTTTTATTACTCAGGTTCATCTTGTCCATGTATCTGACTCTCAGATTCCAAAATGAAAATTGTATTAGGATTGATCTAGGATGGCTGGACTAAGTCATAATATTCTGATGACAGATTTTTGTCTTTTGCCTACTGTTTTCACTATTCCTTTTGCAGCGCTCTTTCTAAGGGGCTTCCCTTGTATGTCAGGTTGATATTTTGGGTCTGCGTAATTTATTTCGACCATTGGAATGGATTGGGATGAATGCAATGCTTGTCTTTGTAATGGCTGCAGAGGGCATATTTGAAGGATTTCTCAATGGGTGGTACTATGAGAGCACTAATAACACATTGGTACATGTCTAGGCACTTTTTTAGCTTCAATTTTTTCTTGAATTATTGTCCAGCCAGAGGCATGGGGTTAGGACTGATGAAATCCTTCCCTTGTTTGTTCACTTCCTATATCCAATGCATCTATTTTTCCTTCTCAGCTAGTAATTTGAGACCATAAACTTGCAGGTTTATTGGATTCAAAAGCACATTTTCATCCAAGTGTGGCACTCAAGAAGAGTGGGTATTCTTCTTTATGTTGTATTTGCTCAGATCTTGTTTTGGGGGCTAGTAGCGGGTATTTTGCATCGGTTGGGCATCTATTGGAAACTATAAAGATTGAAATGTGGCTATAAAGATTGAAATCCTTCCCTGTCCTTGATTTGTGTACAAGTGTGTAAAGAAGTCTGCAGGTTATAGATGAGGGAAGAGATTCATGTAGCCATCTCCAAGTTATTAGGACTTGGAGAAGGCCTTGTTGATGTTGTTGTGAAGTAAATGATGTAAGTTTGTATTTGAATGGTTCAAAGTTTTAATCAATGCAATGCACTTCAATAGGCAAAATATATTGACTATTTACATGGTTGAAGAATTCTTTAGATACAAGCCTGGCACAGCAGTGTAAGACTCTTGTCAATTGTAAATGCATCTTCTTGAAACACATCAATCTTTTCTTAGCATGCCTAGATAATTTAACTAATTGAAATAAATATGCCAAGTACTTTCATAGGAATTGATCTAATAATTGCATAAACATGATTCTTAATTACTGATTAGGAGAAAGAGTATTAGTTAGTAAGATAGGGACAGCATGAGTAGCATGCTAATATAAGATTAACTTTAGAATATTAATCATACTGTATTGGTTATAGAGGACTGATTAGTTCTATAGTTAATTAGGTTTCAGCAGGTACCCAAAATTACTCATTTCTGTATGTCTAGCAATTTTGTTTTTGCATCTCAAGAGCTGCCCATGAAGAATTCAAGGATATTTGGATCAAAATAGACTTTTGGCAACCTAACTTCTTCCTCATGCGATGTTGATATATCGTTATTATTCATAGCATCCAATATAGTCTCTTGATCTTACATTTTAATGAGGAAGCTCATAATTTCATGCATTATAAGAAAGACCTTTCATTCGAGGACATATGATTATCCTAATGATTGTTTTTACTAACCTTTTTTTTTTTTTTTTTGACATACTTTGAGAAGAATAAATTATTTTACTTTTCTAGAAAAAAAAAACTTAATTCTTATATAAAATTAAATGACAATTATTGGTTCTAGATTTTAGAAACCTGAGTCATTAAATGGTTGACTTACTGATCAATAAGATTATTTAAATTTATCTTTGAATTTTTTGAATTTTCTATTTGCTTTCTCGTGCTCCGGTTAGGTTTAGCATGTAGAAAGAATGTGCAAAATATCACGTTCTTTCTGTAATATATAAGAGCTAAAGGGTTTTTATGAAAATATAAATTTGTGATGCTATGCAGGAGTTCAATGTAATAGCAAATAATTGGAGGGTTTGGATGAAAATATCAATTTCTGATGCACCTCCCCATGTAATATTGAAGAGTTGGAGGGTTTTATTGATAATATAAATGTGTTAAGAAATTTCTCACGGGGCTAATTAAATATTACCACTTTATAATATCTTGATCTTTCGATTTAAAAAAAATTATATTAAAATTTTTATAGTTATAAAAGTGAAACATCTAGTTTTATTTATCCTAAAGTCACTAGTTTTACCGATGAAAGTACGAAAATAATTGATAAAAAGATAATTTTAATATCCTAATTATGTTTTGGTAGTAGTAGCAAACATGACGTCGATAGGAGCTGCGAGTGATGTTGTGGATAAGGAGGGAGAGTGACGATGAGAGGTGAGGCAAAGGGAGAGTGGTGCCGACGCTTTGTATTTACGTCGATATCGATGTAGTTGTCAAGCAACGCTGATGTAGATGTAGAGTGACGAAGGGTTACTTGACATCTACAACAACACTTTATAACAATTACGTTAATATCGACGTAGATGTAGAGTAATAAAATGGTCACTCGACATTTACATCGGTGCTAACACAGATGTAAAATGACACTGTCCTTCCTTGCATCATTGTGGACGTTGATGTAGATGTCAAACAATCCTTTCGTAATTCTACATCTGAATTGATGTCACTCGACATCTGTGTTGGCATCGACACAGATGTAAACCATGACGTTACTCTCCCTTTACCTCATCTCTTATCGTCAATCTCCCTCCTCATCCACAATAGCTATCCATGTTACTATTGTGTGTCACGAAATCAAATTGGGATGTTAAAATTATATTTTTATTTATTTATTTATTTTTTCATATTTTCGTCGATAAAATAGATGATGTTAGGGTAAATGAAGTTAAACGTTTCACTTTTATAATCATATATATTTAAATATAATTTTTTTAAATCGAAATCGAGATGTTAAAGAGATCAGGATAATATGTAATTAGTCAAGGGTTTTATTATAAATATAAATTTATACCAAGTCCCCAAATAAAAGCGAGCGCGGAAACCCTAACATCACTCGGGACCCTTCGAAAGACGAGCGGTGAACGAGAGCGAGAGGCAGAGAAACGATGGGTCGATCGCGTCGGAAGTACAAGAAGTCCCACGCCAAAGTTCGGGTTGGATTGCCTCGGAAGAAGCCCGGCGTCTTCAAGCCAGCCGTTGCCATTCCGGAGGCCCTCGCTGCTGCCACCGCTGACGGGGGAAAAGAGGGGACTAAGGAGTGGGACGTGAAGGGCAGCGTTATCCGCAACTACCAGGCCTTCGGTGTTGTCTCCAACCCCAACATCCTCAGCGTCCGCGCCCGTACCCCTCAGATCGTTCAGCTCTCCACTCTCCAAGTCCCCGACCCCGAATTCACCCCTGTTTCGGAGTTCGACCCCATCGACAGTGGCAGCGATCTTGAATCCGATGGTCAGTTAATATAAAGGCACAATCTTGCTAGCTCTTGGTTCCAATGTTGCTTCGATTCGTTAAAGTTTCTTTCCTGTTTTTGATTGGTCGGTTGCATTCAAGTTTCTCTTTTAAAAATGCATATTTCTTAGTTGTTTTCCTTAAAGGTTAGTTCTTCATGCATGGTTATGATCGATTTTTGTATACATGTTCTCTTCAGCGAAACATCGTATTTACTTTTAATTTGGCATATATTGGTAATATTATAACATCTCGTAATTGGTCTGGTTGAAACAAGTGCTTTAAACGAACACTTGAAAGAACTTTAGATTTTGACTCAGTGGCCTTTGAAGCATAGAATACAATCATTTAATTTTTTAGGTCCTGAATTGTTGAGAATTGAGGCCCTATTTAGCTGCATTCTTAACTGTAGCAACATTATTGTTGCCTCCTATCAAGCCTTTTTTTTCTTTTGGGGAAAAGAAGGTATTCATCAAGAGAGAGAGAATAGAGTTACAAGAGTTGGGGATTACTAGTGGTAACTTTAGAACTCTACATGGCATGGTTGGAAAAAACACATATCTGAGCCACACTGGAAACCATTATGGTCTGAACAAAACAAACTATTAAATGTACATGTCTCCACTGATCCTGTAGCTTACATGTCCCATTGTAGTGTGTGATAAGATGATCAAAACGTGACCGTCAACCCTGATAACAATGCTAATCAGCGTAAGCAAAGGCGCCAAGGTGCTAAAACACAATTCATAAAGCTATAACAACAAAAAATTAACTATTATTAACAATGACTAACATTACAAGAGAAAGAAATAGAGGGAAGGAGAGGGGAAGAAGCATAGAGAGGGAGAGAGGTGGGGAGCACCTGTTGGGAGGGGAGCTATTGTTGCCGTTCTCCATTCAAGAGAAAGACACCACCACTGTCAGTTTGATTGAACCAGAATCATATCTCATGATCGACTCAAGCATATTAGATTTGGTTTGAAGATGAGTGGTCCTTTTGAATCCATAGTAATGGATTTTGCCATTTTACCATCAGAATTCAAGGAGTTGATGGTGATATAGTAGTTGAGGAGTGGCTTGGCAAAGTGGAGAAGTTGCCTCGGTTCTATAAAACAAAGTCAATTAGACTGTTCTCTCGTTAGTCATTATGACAAGCCTGGATAAGTGACACCAAAGTATTAACTTTAAGTTTGAGGTTGTGGTTAGTGCTAGGGAGGGTTGCCTGTGCCGTCCAACCATAAATCGTTCAACGCCAAACTCAAGGTAAAAGCCAATTTAGTCAGCTTCCCTTTACAATGCTGGCTGCCACATGGCTTTGTGCCTGTGTGCCACTTCGCCGAACAGGGTCAGGGTGTTAGTCAAGTGAGTTTGATGCATTGGAGAAATGACGTGTCGATGTGGTGTCTGTCAGATAAGAATGAAATGTTCGAGCATGAGTCATAATCCCCATATCAAGTTCCAACCTATATTAATTAACTCAATTTTTAAACCCAAAACCTGTGGCACACTAACATCTTAATCTACTGTCTTCTACTGGAATCATGGCGGAATATCTTCTTGGTCCACCTAGTCTTTATGTTCCTCTTCCTCATGTTCATCTCAATTCTTTATAAAAACAGTAAGTGGGTAAGACTTTTTCAGAAGGTTCATGTAATGTCCAATTGGTCGTCAATAATGATCTTAGGGAACATAAATAAATAAGGTTTTGTGGAGACTTGGTCCTTGATTTGCTCTCACTATGCCTGGCACAAAAATATTGTTATTGTCTTTACATGCTCACTTATCTTTCATTGCTTTGTTAACATAAAGTCAAACTGATTCAGATGTGAAATCTGCACTTGGGAAGAAGCGTAGGGACGGTAAAGCAGCATCTTTACGACCACTGACCGCCATGCAACGTGTTCACGTTGGAAAGTTAATTGAAAAGTATGGTGATGATTATCAGGTACTCTAACTCTATGTGCTGTCAATTTTTCTCTTCCATTTCGTTCCTAGTTTTTGCTTATAAGGTAATCTTGCAGGCAATGTTCATGGATACAGCACTGAATGCAATGCAGCATTCTGTGGCTGCACTGAAGAAGTTATGCGAGAGGTACTACGTCGGTGGGAAGCACTACATCACATCATAGCTGAATCCACTGTGGTAATGGAAGAGTAAGGTTGTCGTAGTTTAGGTGTTGTGGGAAAGATTATTTCCTTTTTCATACGACTTCTCTAATCCTAAGAGCTCAAAAGTAATTTAAATCATGGATCAGAACCAACTTTACCAACGGTTGGGGCTCAGCCATCCACAACAATATTGGCTTTTGAATCCCCCAATTGGCTTTTAAATTTTGTCAGAATCACCAGCTTGAATTTATTTTTGTCCTCCTCCCAAATATGTTGTTAGGATCATGATCTTGAGTTATGATAACTTTTCCCTAGAGGTCAAAATGGTGCGTGGTCATGTTTAGCCCTGAGATAAAAAAGGGCTTGCAACTTCTGCATAATGTATTGGCTTAGATTTAGAAAGACCAAATGTAAACAATATTAGATTGCTGTCCTGTGTTGCATCGTGCCAAACACCCATTACCAAGCTGGATTACACATGAACAAGATAGCTGACATTTAGTAGTTGACAGAAACTGCGAGGAGCCAAATAAGGTTTTCAGATGGTGACAATTTAGTATTTGCTAATCTTAGTCTGGTTTTGCTCCATCTCGAGATGGTTTAACCCATGAAATATAATCTACATGTCTTGCAGTTATATAGCACTTAAAGGAATCAATGTGAAGGACTAAACAATCTGAAAAACCAATTTATTGCAACAACCTTTCATCAGAGAAATGGCACAATTCAAAGATATCAGTCCCAAGTTTAATATCCCAGAAGGCCATCAAGACAGAATATTACCTACAATCTTCATTCATTTACTGTTTATATACAAGTAGCTGAAGTTGCAATTAGAAACCCATGAATGCTTGGCACTGCAGTTGCCAATGTTCTTTGGCTTGACGAAGGCGTTCAGCTCTTTCGTTGTGAAGTCGCATCTCCCAGTAATCATGACAACTGTTTTGAGTATAACGAGGGAAGAATTTGTTATTACAGCAATCCGAGTTAGAGCATCACAGTAAGAACGACGGACCTTCGACTTAACAAGATGTTCAGTTCATCCAGGTGGAGAGCACCTTCAAAAACTCCTTCCTAGAAGTAAAGAAAACATAGAATTGTATCACATTTATTAACTACATATCTTCCTAAATTAGATTAGAAAATATTACTTTCTGAAGAACCATTCTTCTTCATCGAGTAAAATGCATGCACACAAGTATCTTCAGCACCAATAGATGAACATTCTGAAAGAGATGAAAGTAACCTGTCTACAAAGAGGACATTTTGCTTTGGGGTCTGCAGCCTTTAGCCCATCGACAATTGTCACCGATGCTGCAGAACAACTGCATATATAGCAGAATATATGGCCGCATGTGAGAGAAACAGGATCAAAAACCGTGTCCTGGAGAAGGACAAGAAGAAGCTGATCAAGTAGTTCTCCTCACAATTATCAAGCAAGTTACTCAGGCTCGAGGAAGTATTAATTAAGATTTATCTAAACTACATATGTATGCAACACTCAACTAGTACAGAGAAGTCCTTATATATATATATATATATATATATATATATATATATAGAGAGAGAGAGAGAGAGAGAGAGAGAGAGAGAGAGAGAGAGAGAGAGGCAACTTGAGGAAACGGAAAGCATATACAGTGACTCACCAAACAGATAGAGCAAGTCAAATCTACTTCTATCTTCATAGATTCAAAGAGTTCACATGAAAGTCTTGGTTTGTCATCGTTGAATGTGAGTGAGCAGTCACCAAATGGTCTCATAATAGCTTCATCCTTGACCTTGGTTTGCCTCAAATTAATATAAAAGGCCATTAGCTCACTCAGCCATGGAGATTGAAGGATCTCAATGTGCATCTTGAATGCTTGTGATTTGAAAGCCTGCCCTTGCTTTGAGAAATGAATCTGTACATGAAACTCTAAAGTAAGCAGAGTTTTGAACTAATTATATCAACAGACAAGCAATTATATCCACAGTTGCATAGTTGAAGCTTACAGATACAAAGTCGAACCTTGAAAGTATAAGACCAATATAAAAGAAAAAAGGAATATGTAATTTTCAAATGGCATACCTTGTCATACTTTTTCAATATTTTCCTCATGGCAACGGAGTTTATGATGGCATATGTTACCAAGTCCTTGCCTTCTTGCATTAAAGTTTCATGGTTTTGCTGAGAATTGCCCGAGAACCATGCAAAGTACTTTAGAAAGCCTGACGCCAGATGCATTTCGAGTAACTTCTGTGCTCTCTGATTAAAGCAACCAACAACTATTGACATCTCTTTGAGTAGGGATGGGAAGAATGTCCCATCACACACTACATGTGAAACAAGAAGGTGAGCCAAATAATCTAGCAGGAAAACAATGTCTTGATCTAACATCACTAGTTAATGAATAAGATAATTCTAAATTTCAAGTGGCTGTATCAGATCAGTGGTCAGTCAGTTCTCTATGTCACGTTTAATTGCCAAAGAAATGATACAGATAGAAAACACACATGGCTTTTCCAAAAATTCACAACGTTGTATATCATTCCTATAGAAAATAGATCTATTAGCAAAGAAGAATAGGGAGCAGAAATGCAGCTAATTTAGCTACAATCTTAAGAGCTAATTATAGATTACCTTCTATACTTAGATCCAATTATATCACGATTTTTAAATTTAAAAAATTTACATTAGAATCCTTATAATTATGAAAGTATAATAAATAACCTCATTTACCTTAATGTTAAATAACCTCATTTATCTTAATGTTGTCAACTGCATTGACAAAAAACACAACATATGATACCACATGTTAGATCGATACAAAAGTGATGGATAAAAAAAATAAGTAATTTCAACATCTCTTCTTTGTAACACGTGAGATATTGAAATAATCTTTTTACCAATAAAATCATTAGAAGCGGAAAAAAAAATTAAAATTATCATTTTTTCCATCACTTTCATATTGATCTAGCATATGGTGTCACGTGTTGTATTTTCCGTTAATGCAACTGACAATGTTTATTTATTTTATTTTTAAAATTATAAAAATCTCAATATAAATTTTTTAAATACAGAAATCACAATGCTAATAACGTCCAAATATAAGGAATAATTTGTAATTAGTCCAAATCTTAATTGGGTAACCGAGACATCAATCCTATCATATAAAAAAATCAAAATATTTATAAAAATCATATAATTTGGATACATTTTGTGTGTCTAAACTACTAAAAAGAATGACAGTAAAAGCATTCATACATGAAATTATGATCTAGACTACTTTAATTAGTGATCAAAATTATTCAACTAAATCTGAAATTTCATTAGATCAGTATATATAAGAAAATGCTAATATTTTTTAGATATTTCTATATTGTCGATCAAATCAAGATACAGTATGTCATGAAACAGCTTGTTTTCCCTCCATTCAATCAATGCATATATTAGCATGTAGCAAAAATTGTGATCTGTTGTCTTATTTTTTAAAAAATTAGTTTATTAAATAACATATCTTATAACTCAAACATAATGTCTCAACAGAGATAAAAAAATATACTGACATCAGCTGATCCATTTCTTAAGAAGTATATAGTACTCATCAACAGGTTCATTCCCCTATAATGAATCAAATGAGATAAAAAGTCAGAGGTTCCCCTTTGAGTTTTCAGCAACAAAAGTTATCTATTGCCAATTTCTGACATCAGCTGATCCATTTTTAAAAATTAGTTTATTAAATAACATATCTTATAACTCAAACATAATGTCTCAACAGAGATAAAAAAAATATACTGACATCAGCTGATCCATTTCTTAAGAAGTATATAGTACTCATCAACAGGTTCATTCCCCTATAATGAATCAAATGAGATAAAAAGTCATAGAGGTTCCCCTTTGAGTTTTCAGCAACAAAAGTTATCTATTGCCAATTTCTGACATCAGCTGATCCATTTCTAAAAAAAATATATAGTACTCAACAGGTTCATTCCCCTATAATGAATCAAATAAGATAAAAAATCATAGAGGTTGAGTGTTCAGCAACAAAAGTATGACTCAGCAATGAAATGGAGGATAGGAATAGCTAAAGCTTCTTCCAAGTCCTAACGTGAATGTAAACTGCGCCAAACCAAACAAACCAAAAAGACCTCATTTCACGAATCAAACAAATCTATCCAAAATGAAAACTTCAAAAGGATACGCAAATAAAACTAATATCCGAAACAGATCAACAAACAAAAACATTGGGAGGAGAACATCCATCTCCATCGAATACTGCTTCCTTTCTCATTTTACCCCCAAATGACTACAATCAAATTCCAAGAACCAATCGATCAAACAAATAAATAAATAAAAAGAAGATCGCAACCATGCCCGATCAAAAAGGAAAACGAAGAGGAAAGGGAAACTATGTCCGACCCAATTACCTGCACAACTGCAAGGGCATTTGCTTTCCTCTTCCCCTTCCCGGCGTTGACGTTGGGCCTCTAGGTCTCTCCTACATCTCTTGAGAACCTTCTTAAGTTTCTTCAACCCAACTCCAGGGAAATCTTTCTCCCTCTTCCCCTGCATGTACTCCTCGTACTTCTTGCAGAACTTCATCTTCACTAAACAACACACAAATATCCCAAATAGTTACCTTCCAACTTTGAGCTACAGACAGGAATCCCCATAAACGTTCAGCACCAACCTGGTCTTGATCACGGGAGGAGATCGATTTCGTGGTGCTCTCAGAATAAAGACGGCAGCTGGCAGGGCTGATAAAGGAAAGGAGGCATGCCAGGTTTATCGGGGAGCGACCCGAATCGGCGCTCGGACCTTTTCAAACGAGGGAAGCAGTCCTCGCCGGAGGCAATCAACCCCCGTTCGTTCTGTTGGCAATCTTGATATATGGTTACTGAATTAAAATTATTGTTACTTTATCTAAAAATATTATAATTAGTCCGGTTCAATGACGGACCGGTTCGACTAAATGCATATTTCATTCCACTTACTATCCCCACAAGCGTTTGATGCCGAAATCATAGTTAGCTGAAGAAAAAGAAAAAAAAATTACATGAAACGAGTTAGAATAGAATTAAAATTAAATAATAAATTGAGAATATTTACATATATTTGTAAAGAGTTATCTTCGAGGATATTAAAATTTGAAACTGTAAATAATAAAAAGGATTGCGAATAGAAATTTTCTAAAATAATTCGAAGTCTTTTTTCAATCTTATTTTTATCTGATTTGTGGATTGGGCCCCAACGTTCGAACCCTCCACAGAACGACAGACCTCGAAGGAGAAGGCCTCTCGCGTTGGGCCTCATAACCTCACCTTGTCGTGGGTCCCATGGTCTGGTAAGACAGCGGGGTAAGCAAGTTTCAAATAGGAAGATGAGACCACACAGTGCAGCGGGTCAAACGTTGTTTATGTAGGGGGACGGTAGTAATCAGCGATCGTGCTCTTCTTCAGATGCGGTGTGCCCTTCCTCCCGGGTTGGCCGGAAACCGCACTCCCCGAGATTGATCCCGTTGTGTCCTGCAAATTGATCGATCGGCGATGACCTAATTCTCGAGATCCCTAGATATACGTGATCCCTCGCGAAGGTGATGACTCCGAGATCCGCGAACACGCGCCACGCGATCGATTCGTGCACGCTGCAGCTCCACGCATGGAAGCCCTTCCAACTGCAAACCCTCGCTGGCTCCGATCCGTCGAAATCATACCCCTTTCGGTCCAAGAAGCCCTGCCTCTCCGATCGCTCCACCGCCCCCTCAGCCGTCGTCGCCGCCGCCGCCGCCGGCCTCGATCTCTCGCGGCTCAGCCTGCTCGACGAGCCCCCGCCGCCGCCACCGCCTCCGAGGCGGGAGGAGGGGCTCCAGTGGTTCGCTCGGAAGCGGCGGCGGCGTGGTTCGCGGTCGGTGTCGGGGCGGAGCTCCGATCGCAGCGGGACCCGCCGCCGCGGCGGAGTCTCAGCCGCTTACGCCACCTGCTCTGACTTCCCGTTTGCGGCCGGTGGGACGGATTCGAGCGGGGAGCTGTTCGTGATTGGGGACGGGAGCTGGGGATCGGATGTTAGCGAGGCAGCCCGGATGACGAGGAGGGAGGGTAGGGAGGTCGGCGGAGGAGGGGGATTGGAAAGGGAGGGCTCTGCACTGGGGGCGCTTCAAGGCATTGGGAGCGTAGTGGTTCTGGAATCGCAGGGGAACGAGTCCGGCTATGGGAGCGAGCCCGGCTATAGGGGTGATGGGGAGCTCGGCTATGATGATGAGTTCGAGGACGATGACGATGATGGGAAGCAGTTGTTCTGGGGTGAAGAGATTGGAGGTATGATCCATGTTGTAATTGGCTTTTACTCTTTACTTGCCTAAATGATTTCTTGGATAACCTGATTCGATGCTTTAGTCTTAGTAATACTGCATTCCTAGCTTTTGTCTGTTTAGATCTTAGTGGCTGCCACCAGCAAAGAGGAAAAATTTTGGAGGCTAATTTTCTTTCCTACCATCAACCTTATAACATATTTTTTGTCCATTTCTAAAGATTTGTCATAGCATTATTTATCGCCTTGTTGCATTAGTTGATTGGATAAACACTTGCTACCATGTCTGGAAAAAGATTAGTGCTCATCTTGTGTGGGCTACAACAAGTAAAGGGCATATAGAAAAGAAAGTAATGAACTAGTTGAGACATAACATAATGTTCTGTTCTTTTATATACATACATATTGGCGTAGTACTGTAAAAAGTTGAACTGTTGTTGCAATCAATTGTTTTTCTTTTCAGTATTGTTCTTCCTGGCTTAATTCACCATAGTACTTTTCAATCGCTTCTCTTCAAGACAGTTTTCCTTACAATCATAGTAGTGCTGCTCCTGCTTATCATATAGTCTCGTTAGTGCATCGTCTTGTCAATTTAAATTTTCTAAGGACGACCATCATGTTAGTATATGTTGTGCATGAAACTGCTCTTTGTGGGAAGGTAAAATTCATGGCAGTTGGGATCACATCACATTATCAAGGTAGTTGCACTAGCTTAATCCATTGTTGCTTCTTCTTCTCAAAGTAATCTTCATCGATTGGATCTCACTCGAAAAGATTGAATCGTTTGAGGAACACAAAAATAAATAGGAGTTCTATAGCTGGAAATATAAACGGAGATGGAAAGTTATCAAGATTATTAGTTACTAGAATGATAATATGATTTAAGATTCTTTAGTCTTTTTGTGCATCAGTAATTCTAGTATCATTCAGAAATTTTTATATTAATAGGTTTTGTCCGGATGGTTGCATTCTTGATAATTGATTATCCTTAACCGCCTAGTTGTAGCATAGATATCGGTTATTTCCTACTGTTGTTGTAGTAGTTATCACAGTAGATGATAAGAAGAACTGGACAAACTCATATATTTACATACCCAAAGGCACAAGTCACATATAATGTAAAAAATATAACAATAATATGATCGTCAATTTATTTACGAATGCTGATAACTAGATTTACTGTTTTCCACCCATATGGAATATAGATTTTAAGTTATGTCTAAGTCTAGATGTGGCTGGTAGAACTGTGCTATAAAGTTTCGTTTACCATATTAAGGAAGCTGATAAATGCAAACCATGGTTGTACTGATCATATGTAGCTCAGCTGGGAGGTATCCCTCTTCCCAAATGAAGTGGTTAGGTATTCAACCCCTTGTAGAATTATCTTTGTCGCAATACATCTTGGTTAGGACCTAATTTTTGAAACAAACTGGACTCCTTGGTTTTTCCAAAACCAAACCCCTCAATTTTCTCAAAGTAAACCAAATTGAAGCAAGAGTGGCTAAAAGTTAAAACTCATCCTAATTAAAATTTTTCATCAGGTTTAGCAGAAAGTAGTACAAAAGTAAAAGTTTTGCTTATTGTGCAGAAAATTACATGAAATAAAACAACAGGAAAAGAAAATTCCTTTAATCCACTTGAACTAGTTTTTTATGCAATGAAGCACGGACATGACAAGACACACGGACATGACAAGACACAGATACGATGAACTAGTTTTTTATACAGGAACTAGTTTTTTATCAGTCAATCTTAGTCTTGTTCACTTCCAATATGAGACTAATCAGAATGTTACACCTATACATTAGATTCTTATTAGTCAATCTTTAATTGGGATGTTATAATAAGAAATTGATAAAAAAAATTAAAATATATTTTATTTTCGATGTGAAACTAATTGGAGTATTATTAGAAGAAATACCATGGTTCTATACTCCCATATTCAGTCCCTTTCCTTACTCTTCTACCCACTATTATCACATGCGTTGGGATGGAAGCTGAGAGAGTGAAGGGAGTGCAGATGAGTGTTACTTAGGATTGGTGAGACAATAATATGGGTGCCCTCGAGAGACGGGGTGGGAGATATCATATGTTTGAGGTGAAAAAATTGAATTAAAATATTGCTCGACAAAAATCAAATATAATATTTATGCTGCACTTTTCAACAGGGATGTTCCCTCAAGCACTGCTAAAAAGACTTAGAGAGGATGCTACGTATACTGCATAAACTATATACTTTGTGAACCTTTCATGTAATTGCCATATAGGCTCTCGTAAATACATGTATTTTGCAAGCCTGTTATTTTGAGCTCTTGTCCTTGATATTATCCTTAAAAAAAGAAAAAAAGAGTTATGCTCTTGATGGTTTGACATATAACTGCTTGTCATTCCTTTGTTGATTCATACACGCTATAACTCTTCTGATGATTTTATATACTGTCAGACACTGATCAGATGGAAATTGGCAACGAGACTAAATTTGCAGAGCAGAAGGTCCACCATCGAGGCAGGCGTAAAAAGCATGATTGGAGAATAATGGCTTCCTTGAGATAACAATCCATGCGTCCTATTCTCATTTGCTAGATAATATTTTGAAATTAATTTCATGGTAATAGTAAAGGTATGAAGTACCCAATGCCTAAGGCAACCATCCACATCGTCTATTGCAGCTAGTTTTGTACTTCCGCCCATCAGAACGATCAGTAACTGTTCTTGTATTGCAGAACTGTGCCTAATCTATGAATGGTTGCTATGGCAAGATGACAAGATCGTTGTCGTCTTTGCAGATGATAAAGCTCCTTGTATCTTTTGAACTTTTTGGCTATCAAACTTCATATTAAATATACCTTTTTTTACCTTTTGTAGATCATGAGCAGCGAAGAAAGCCAAGTGTTTCAGAGAAAATTGCAGGCGTTCAAATCCATTTTCGGTATGCAGCTTAGTGTTCCTACTATATTCTACATGATTCATTCCTTAGCTGTTTTGGCTATTTGGCTCGATCAGGTCCCCGATGCCACCCATAAAAGAACGAAGAATACAACTGTGCCAAGTATAGTAAGGCCTTGCACTCTCAACAGTTATGATTCATTGTAGTTCTTCCCTTTACATCAGCTGCCCTAATTTTGTAGTTCGTCCTTTGATCACCTAAGCAAATTTCCCTTTCACCATGTAGAACAAGAGTCCTACATTCGAACAATCGGGAATTCAACAAAATTCACACTCCATATGTAAGAATTAACCAAGAGGTCAATCGATTTACTACTATTCTACCAAATCCACTTCATATTTAACGATGTCGAGTTTATTAATGTATCTCCATCTCACCATGTGATTAGAGATAGCTCCGTCCTGATCCGAGGCAGATCTACGAGGGAACATACAAAGCCCTAAAATTACCATATGCTAATAGTGCTCAAGAGCGATTTACCGCATCCGGATGGAGTCGAGGGAGTCGGAGGTTGAATCCGGCCGCAACGTCGTCGTCATCGGGGCAGTTCAAGCCACAGCCGCAGCGGGGGCACATGTAGAAGTTGTTGATGGCGAAGTCGGCAGAGGCGATGCCGACGGAGAAGCGGAGGGAATCGCCGAGGCGGCGAACGTCGATGATGTTGACCCAGAAAAAGAGGACCTTGACGCTGACGCCGCGGAGATCGGAGAGGTGGTCGGAGGCGATGCGGCCGGAGATGGTGGGGCTGTAGCGGAGCTGGTAGGATCCCTCGAGGGAGAAGCTGCAGCTGCCGTTGAGGTAGGCGGAGAAGGCGCCGGTGGATGCGTCGAGGTCGTAGCCGATGGGGCCCTTGGGAAGCAACCCTATCGGTAAGTCGTACGACTCCAGCACCTCGTACGCCGTCGGACTCTCACCACCGACGGCCGATCGGAAGCAGAAGCAATTCAGAAAGAGGAGGAGGAGAGGAAGAGAAGAGCGCGGACGAAGGAAGGGAGACATCGTGGCTTTCCTTCTGCCTTTTGTGTCTCTGTGTGCGATTAATATTGGGTGTCCGGCAAGACAGAAAGGCTTGATTGGAAGCACCGAGTGTTGCGTGTCTTGGAGAACTACCGAATCCAAGCGACGCGGTAATTAATGCAACGAGTACGCTGTAGCATCGAAGTCCCCATAAGAGACTGGTGCTTAGGACACGCAACAAAGCGCGATGCTGTTGTTGTTTTCCTGTAAGCTGGACAAGTCTCTAACTGCCTCTTCCAAGGATGAAAGAACACTTACAATCAATGAAGAATCATGTTGACTTCAAATTTGTAGGACTAAATAAAGACATAGGACGAGTTAAATTTCTCTTTCTTCACTTAAAATATCTCTACTATTAGGATATGCGGATGACTTTTGAACCTTTAATCAAAAATATTTGACACCATCATCTTGACGGATTTTATTATTTTTAATTAATATTTTTTAATAAAAGATAAATGAGAAAGATAAGAAAGTCTTTAATTATATCAAATAAAATTTTAAATTCTCAATCTTTGATAAATGTAAAATATAACAAATAATTTATTAAGATAATTTATCTCAAACTTTTAATCAATAATTTATCTCAAGAAAAGATATAATTCTTATGGCATGGTACATTGTGATTCATTGATCAAAGAAGCCAACATAAGTTACCCTATCAAGTAAACTATATGGAGCTCCATCCCTAACAAAGATACATATCCTACATCTGCTATGTTGAGCTCCATCTTGACGGATTCCGGCACCTCAGTTGGCCGTGTGATCATTCTGGTCCCAGATAATGTGGAGCTCATAAGGAGTCAACGAGACGGACTTCACGATCTTTTGGAAGCTTAGTTGGCGGGACACCGCCGACGGCTTCGGTAGGCTGCTCCCTTTGTTCAGGTGCTTGTGCTGGGACGCCTTGTTGCTCTCCTCGAATCCTTGCATCTCGACATGGCCGACGAGGTGAGCCGATCCCTCCTCCTCCGCCTCCAGCTCGGTCGCCTTTGCCGCCGGTTTCTTCCTCCTGTACACCGCCTAGAGGACCAACTGCGCTGAGCCCAGGGCGAAACCAATAGCATTGGGAACCTGCAGCGTTACTCTAGATCTCAGAACGGTGCTTATGCTTGGGAAATCTAAGAGAGCAGAAGAAGAAACGGTGACGAAGCCAGCTTACACCGATGAAGAAGTCCCTTACAAGCACCGAGTAGATACTCCAAACCCCGCCATTGAGGAACAGGAAAAAGGAGAGGAAGAAGGGCATGTACTCCACGCTCTTTGTCTTCACCACTGTGCTCTAGATCACGAACAACGATGTCAGCAAATTGAATTCAACATAAGCTCAAAGGTTCCGCTTGCTCACCATCGCTGCCATGGGTGAAGCATACATCCCAACCGTCAGTGCTGCACACAGAAAACCCACCACAAGAAGCCTCATGCTGGCATGGACCGAAAGGAGGGTGACCACCACCACGGCCCCAAAGAAACACACGTTAAGCATCCCCACCAACTTCGCCATCTTCGCCTGAAACCAGCCAACTCGTATGAGGATAGAGCTACAAAGAGAACATACATACGTGTCGAGCGAGAGAGAGAGAGAGAGAGAGTCACCCTCGTGTCGTTGGGAGCGTAGATGAGGAAGAGAATGATATAGATGGCCTGCAACACGGTGCCGACGCCATTGACGGTCACGACGAGGAGGCCTCCCGGCTTGAGGAGGCCATAGAAAGTCCATAGAGAGGTACTGAGCAAGGTGGTGATGTAAGGAAGCCCTTTGAAGCTCTCAGTGGACTTCGTCTTCACAATCCTCCGGAAAGTGCCTCTGAACCATCACAATCATATCCAGCAACGTTAAGAATCATCACCATGACTTGCATCACGGAATCCAAGCACTGATGGGTACGATCATCATATACTCACATCGGAGAGGCAAAGACCAGTATGGAGATCACATTACCTGAGACAGAATTAAGACTTTTGTGTCAAGTCTATTCAAGGTAAAACTTGCACGGGGTTTCCGAGACTCACCGAGAATTCCAACGAAGAAGCTCACGTCTGCCATGGCACGAGACTAAGCGTACCTACGAGCGAGGAGCAGCGGAGATGTGGAACGAGATGTGGTGCTCTGAGGAGGTGAGATCCATCTTTTATTCTTGGACGTAGTTGTCTTTGTGTGTGTATCCAAGAACGCAGAGAAGGGCAAAATGGATTTGCGATGCACTCGCTCTCTGGTTCGTACACGTAGCAGCATTGAGGCGGCACAGCCCGATCCATGGTTTTATTCCGGCGAGATGATGACAGCGGATGCTGTCGGCGGGAAGAAAAATACTCCAGAAATATTGGCTTGATTTGTGTGTACAACCTCAAGCATGATGGGTGGGAAAGAAGTGGTGTTCGTCGGGCAAGAATGGGGTCGTTGTCGGAGGAGTATGGTGGGGCATCCATGGACATATGGGAAGCTTCTTGATCGAATTGACCTTTGGACGAAGACCAGCCATTAGAAGCTGAGGAGGCCAGTCCAAAGGAAACCACGACACCAACTCGTCCTTCAGCTAATCCATACTCTGCAACCTAACGTTTGAGAAGATTGGTTTACCAAACTCTACTATCTTGCCAATTGATACCCAGCAACCTGACGCTGAGAAAGAGGATGGAGGTTCTATCTATCAGAATTGGGAAATCTCAAAAGCAGCACGCATCTTCTTCAGTGTCAACTGGCTTGGTTTGGTTGGTAAAGAATGACAAAGCTTTTGGCACCTACCTTTGGGGAAAAGTTGTGACCATGAGGCAGACAGACAATTGTGGTTTGCAAGGAAACACCTGCTTAGAGTAACAGCAGTAAGCTCCTCTTAAGGTGGATGGGTCTGAGTTGATTAGATTGCACCTGTAGTGAGGAAACCCACCCCATCTCCATTATCCATTGTTGAGGTATATCAAGGTATGATGGGGTGGAAGGAAAGAACACAATCTCCATTACATCTTTATCACCTAACTGCAACTAACCAAACACAGAAAGGTTTGCGAATTATTACCTTAAGCAAACAATTAGCGTGGAAATCTTGTTCTTGGTTGGGTAATAACAGACTTATGGATGCACTCGGAAACACATTTTAAATGTGCATTTAGAACCCAATAAATATTTTAAATATAAATTAACATTTGATAAATATTTTTCAAATCACATCTGGTCTGGATAGGATCAGCATTTCAACATTTACATGATTCTATTGTAATTTTTAAAAATTTGAAAATGCCTTGTGATTTTATCTAAAATTATAATATTATCAAAATGATTTAATGAGAAACTAAGATGATTTATATTTTTTATAGGGTAAATTTTTATTTATTTTTTTAAAAAAATATTTCATATTTATTTACACAATTATATTTTTATTTATTATATATTTGGGCCATTTAAAATTTTTTATCTGATTATATTAAAATGGTAAATTTATCATAAAGTATAATTTTTATCTATTATTTTCTAAATATTTAAAGCATTTCATTGAGACAATCCTTAGCAACTAAAAATTTTAGATAAAGTTAGATTAAAATTTAATATATAAGTGTAATTCTAGTAATACTAGGAATAGATAGAACTTTATAATCAAGTTGGAGGGTAAGAAATTTCTTTAAATAAATTAATTATTCAATAAAATAAATATATTGATTAAGATATTATTATATAATAAAAATAAGATGATTAAATAATGAGGGACATTTGGAGTTTTGTATGATAAGAATCTGAATGTAAATATAAAAATTGATAAGAAATAAATTATAAAAAATAATAAAAAAGATTTTACACCGATCGCTTCTTCCTTGAGGGGATTACGAGGAGACCAACAGAAGGAAAAGAGATAGAAAGGAAGAGAGAAATAGAGAAAATAAAAATAAAAAAAGAGAGAAGAAGGAAAAAAGAAAGGTGAAATAGAGAAGGGATGTTGTTAAAAATCTTGATGAGTCAGAATTAATATATATTGAGTCAGATATTAATTCAATTAAAAGTTTAATATGATAAATTGTGGGTTCGACTCATATACATATTCATGATTTAATTATTCACAACCATAGTTTAGTTGGTGGTGTGGTTAACTTTCTCCCCACCAAAAGCTTAACTCTAGTTACCAAGCTCATGTTAGCTCAAGTCTCCCTCTTTCTCTTTCTCTTTCTTTTTTTTAATCATTTAGGTCTTTTTTATTTTTTCAAATTATTTTTTATTCACTCATTTTGTCTATGAACTTTAGCTTTGATACCATATTAAAAATTTTATGATGATGAGTGAGTCAAACTAATCAAGATTAATATATATTGAGTCAGATACTAATTTGATATATTGTGGGCTAGACTCATATATATATATATATATATATATATATATATATATATATATATATATATATATATATATATATAAAAATAAAAAAAAA